TGAATAGTGGTATTGTAAAGCGCTTTGGGTGCCTAGAAAAGCGCTATATAAATCCAATCCATTATTATTATTATTATTATTATTATTGTTTAAACTTTCCCAGATGCAACCAGTTGCGGCAGATGCAACCAGTTTGGGTGAGGGGTGGGCATAAATGGAGAGGGCACATATATCATGCAAACTCCAGTGAAATGCAATGCAATGCACAAAACCCAGCCCCTAAATATATGATAAAGTTTAATCAGCACTTGAAAAAAGTTCCAGCAGAAAGCTTTAGCTAATAAAGAACTCAGTGTATGATGCTGAAAGTCCTTACTGAAAGTTTAATTTACCCAATCACACAAGTACTTATATACCTAACATTACACTATGACGGCAACTGTGGATTGAACCACCAACCTTCTAATTAGTAGACAACTGTACTCCTTAAGCCACAGCTGTCTTTGCCTTTACTGTGGAAAAGGGTTGTGGTTAGTGATATAACTTTAAACCCCAAGTATATGGACCTGGATCCTAGTAGCCACTTGCTCCACATACTTATGTCTTCACGTGCTTCTTTACATTATCTTGTCCAAGGTATACATCCTGCTTCACTGAAAAAGCACACTACTCTGTACATTCTAGGCCAGACATCACTATCCTTGGGATAGATGGAATTTCCACGGATAATTAAGATTTTCCTTAACTCATGTCAAAAGTTGATATTTCACTCCCTTTTTTTCTCCGTGTTATTCCTTTACTGTGTCAGCAAACCGTGAAGTGTGCCCTCAGCACTTTTTAATGTAGATTTCAGCAAATGCCCAAGCCAAACGCCCTCCTAGGTGAGTGAAGCGGTTTCAGCTTTCCCAAAAGAACAGGAAATGGGAATATGCCTTCCCGCAGTCCATAGAGATGTGGGATTAAAGTCTTATGTGCAGTGAGTGTCGCAGGGGCTGGGAAACTAAGGGTTAGAGTGACACGGGACATCCAGAGGGAATCAAAAAACTGGGCAGCGACAATGAGGTGGGGGAATGGTTACTGTAGGGGGCTGTGTTGTGGATAAGTGGGGCCGGCAGACAGACATGTTGCTGTTGGCAGCAGCTCTGAGGACTGAGATTGGACTAGAGTCTGGAGGGGAAAGTGGATGAAAATTCAATTGATGTCTGACGACGGTTTACATTTATGCATTTTGCTTTAGTTTTCTCCACGTGCGTGTGTCTACACATATACTTCTATACCTACATGTGCGTGGTTATGTGACTTTCTATGCATGTGTCCTTTCTGATTTATTTCCCCTACGCAGCAAGCTGACCTCTGCAGCTTGTTGTTTGGTTTTTGTGGTCAGGTTGGACAATGCCCAGACGCTGGGGCTGCATGTAAGTGCGCCGGTGTGGGCTGGCAGTGACACCAACGCTTGGCTCAGAGCTCGGGGGTGACTGTGTAAATATGTTGGGAAAGTAGCGCTCCTTAAACTGCAGCAAGACCTCCAAGAGTTACATTCTGCTCTTTGGGGGCCACCTACTCATTTTCCTATGCTGACATCTGATCATAAAAATGATGAAAACTCACCTAGAGTTTTTCTTCTTTTGACTGCTGCCTTTGTCTCCTGTGAGGTTTAGAAGGTAAAAAGAACCATTATCAGATGTCCCCGTGGATATGTGAACATAATGAGCGTTGGTTTGTGCTGTGTATACGCTGCTCTAAGCTCAAGAAGGTGCAGATTTCATGGGACACAGTGCCTGCCCCTCCACCAGCAGGGCGGGGGGAGTTGCCTTAGGCCCTTCCTCTAATCAAAATGCACCTCTTTTGGTCTATGCTCACCTAATGCTTTAAGTATGTCTCTGTGTGTGCAAGTAAAATGAAAAAGACGGAAGAAGAATATGTGTGCATTGGTAACTGTCCACTTTTAACCTCCAAACATAGCCACGTTTACTCCCGTTCATTATGCGATGTGATGATTTTGAAATGTCACCAATATTGATTTTCGTCCTATCCATCGCATTTTGTAATTCAGAAAATGGAACACAATGAACTTGGTCCACCCTGCATGATTGTGGGTCAGATACAAATGGAGACAGATGTTTGGCATTGTGATCACCAGAGCACTCTCCTGCCCCCATCTGGACATAAGCAGAAAAATCTAGCAGTGTTGTGTTTTGGGAAAAAAGAAAAAAAAAGAAAATAGGGTGAGCTGGGGAATAAAAGCTTAAAAGACTGTGTGATATTTTATTTAGGAAAACTCTGAAAAGATGAATTTTTCAGTGGCATTGATCTGTACGAATTTGCTCCCATTCCACATTCTTGCCGCAAGCTGTGGCCTTGCGCTCTTAACATGTTATGTGCGTGCAGGTGTCTTTCAGCGTGAATCGTGTCCAAGTGAGGCTGGCTGTCGCTCACAGCCACAGGCGATGGCTTTAACACCAGAGCTCGACATCAGGCGAGCTCTGGCGAGGAGCAGAGTCGTATTTCAGCAGAGCCTGGGGAGATGCTGACAACTGCAGCCCTGTTATTGTCTGAGAACTCTGCCTTAAGCACTGCTCTGATGTGCCACATGATGCTCCAGAGTGAAAAATATCACTGTCCCTCCTCTAACCGGAGAGCTGATTGCATGTGTTCTATGGTTTCACCCAGCGTTTGGGTGTTATGCTATAATACCAGGGTTTTTTGGTTGTTTTTTTTAACCCTTTGTCTCGGATGTCAATCACCTCATTTCTCGGGGTCACACAGCTCATCCTTGTGTTGTGACTCGTGAGGTGAAGAATAATCTATAATTTCCTTTTAACCAATCAGCCTTATTACACGCTGAATGTCTGACTCTGCAGTTGCACTGCCGTTTCCCCTCGTCAAAATTATGGTGACACAGCCCAACCCATTTGCACTAATGGAGTAAATTCCTCATGCTCTAATGGGTTGCTGGACTAAGCTGGGCATTCAGGGCCAGAATTCAAAATGAGAAATTTAAGCATCAGCATACGTCTGCGGTATAGTATAGGGAACATTTAGCTCCCCCCCTCTAACTGTAAAATAGTAGCTTATGCAACATTTAGCTTCAGAATCCGTGGAGTGACTTGTGGTGAAAAGAGGCTCAAAGACAGGAAATCAGAACCAGCTTTAGTGGTTGCCATGCCGCCTCGAGACTTCGACAGTAGTTTTACTTTCAATGTCGGTGTAGAAAACAAAACACACAAGAAAGCGGTGGACTTACTATTATCATATGCCTGGCAATTGAGGCTAAAAGTTAAAGGAGGTCTTATACAGATATGCAACTCATAAAACAGCTGAAGTCATAGTGAGAGCCTCATTATAAACTCTAGTGGAGGTTGATGGATGTCAGCCTTTTTTTTTACTTCTATCCCCAGCAGGGCCTGTGCAACAGTATACTTTTCTACCTAGGCAAGCAAGGACCTCTTTCTTTCTTCTTTCTGTGTACATGTCACAGATCATTAAGCGCCTTCTGCCACGGTGCTCTACGTGCTGCGAGGATGTGCTAATTAAAGCTTTGGTGTATGATTAATAGTCTTGTCTTGGAAAACTTAGGTTCATGCAATACCACTTGTGGCCATAATGTACCCTGACATTCCTTTGGCTGCTGTGGGAGATGGAGGGGGGAAAAAAGAAAACAGAGAAGTGTAAGAATGGCATGTGAATAGGAAAGCGCTGCAATGCTCCAAACGGAGGGGGCTATTTTGCTGTAGAGTGGGTTTATTTCTTATTGAGTGTGACCTCATTTCAAACACTGAATTCCCATCGTCCCCTGTCAGCGCAGCTGCGGCACACTGCTCCGCTGAAATAAGAGGGGGCATTGCGCTACAGTGATACCAAGTCTACCCTCCTGTAGATTGTGGCTTCAGAGGTGGCCATAGCTGGGAGTGCTGTGTAATGGCTCCTCTAGTCCTTCTGTTTTGGAGGAAGAGACTGATTTCCCTGCATCCACTATAAAGTCCAGCTATAACATAAACCAAGGATGGAGCAGGAAACAACTTCTAGTGAAGTGTTTTGCAAGGGTTATTAAAGGATCTGAGGCAAGGGGTACTGAGTGGTATGTTCAAGCAAAGCAGTGGGATTGGTGCACTTCATTGAACTCTCACTGGTTAGACCACAAATGCAATCCATTTATGCATGTCAGTAAAGAAAGCTCATTTCAGCTGGAAAGACATGTTGAGGGTTTTTTCTTTTTCAACTTTTGGCAATTGAACATAATTAAAAACACTTCATCCTCCGTGGCGGTCCGTTCCCATAGCTGCGTCGCTTCACGATCCTCCTGCCTCCTGGAAATATATTTGTTTCAGCTACGCTGACATCGTGTTTGATTGATGTGGAATGACATCACTGAATTTGGAATTGCGACCAGGACATGTTTGGATAAATGCAATACAAGGTTTTGGTGCCATATGAATTCTTTTCAGAAACATGTGGGAAGCACACCCAGCTCCCTATGTAGCCTGGGGATCCTTCTGAGCCTTTCTCTCCCTTGTTCTCTCTCAGTAATTTTCTAGCAGCCTTCTCTGTTCTGTCTCTTTTTTAACTTCTCTCTGTCTTAAATCTCTCTTCCTCTTCTTCTGTTCCACAACTGCATGTCCACTCAGTGTATACATAGATATACACAGAGCTCTTATCTCTTCTGATCTAGTCCTAGCTGCAGGTCTGCTCATGCACATGCCTTACACAATCAGTTTGAAGGTAAAATCACTTACAATTCACACAGACTGAGGTCAGGCTTACATGTTGTGCTCCAAACATTTGATCTTGTTTATTGTGTTGCTGTAACTCTGTTCGCCTGACACTCTTAACTCTGATGCAAAATGGCATTCTTGGACCCTTGACAACGTTCTTCATCATTTAGTCACCCTGAGATTCCCCTGGCTTGACCTAGTTTCTTGACTGCCTGTTCTGCAGCAATGTCACATTTGCAGATGTAGATGCTTTCCCTTTTTCACCTCACAGGTCACACAGTGTCAGGCATTGCTTCTGTCATTTTCATTTGTTTACTTATTAGCATGCATGTATGTTTGGGTTTCTAGGGAGACATCCAGCAGCTAATGATTGTAGCAGACCATCGTGCTGCCTATGACTACTGTGAGCACTACAGCCCTGATTGTGAAGTGCCATCCCCTGACCAGCCACAGAACCAGGACCCCGGCACAGACAACACTGTGAGTAACATTACTTTTCTGCTTTTCAAATCATCTCTGGCTCCATGTTTTATTCTGGCACTCCTCTAAATTATTTTTTTGTGGTTGGCTGGAAGATACAGAATGAATTCAAATCAGTAAAAGTATCAAAAAAAGCCTGGTTAAACAAAAAGGTATTTAGCTAGTTTTTAAAGTGTACACAGAATCGGCTTCCCAGTCTTCAGTGTCATTCGCAGAACAACCAGCAGATTCTGATCCTGTGATCCAAGCCTATGAGCAGCAGTGTGCTTTGTAAGGAGCTGGGATAAACAGTGTGTTTAGAGCTCAGTATGTGAAAACGAGAATTTTAAAACAAATTCTAAAACCTACTGGAAGCCAGTGTAAAGAATATAAAATGGGAGTGATGCTTGCTCGATTGTGGGAACCCGTTAATAATCTGGCCGCAGCATTCTTTATTGCTTGAAGACGTGAAAGAGATCATTTATCTAAGCCAGTAAGCAAAGCATTACAATAATCTAAGGACGATGAAAAAAATGCATGAATAATTTTCTCCAGTTCCAAAAGAGACCATAAGTTGCAATTTAGAAATGTTCCTTAAATGAGAATAGCAGGAAGAAGACATGAATTTTACATGTGAGTTGAAACCTAGAGAGGATTCAAATATTACACCAAGGTTTGTAGCACTGACTGATGTGAACAAAATGAAGTAAGAGCCCGACTGATTTGAGAATATAAATCACAAGGAGATATAATCATGTCTTGGTCTTGTTGACATTTAAAATAAGGTAATTATTAAAGAGCCAACCAATAAACCATGGACTAAGGTGAGCAGCCTGCACAGCTGGTGAGGCTTAAAAGACATATATAGGTGAGCATTGTCATAGAAAAAGCTTGAATGGTGCTTGAATTGTGATAGCAAAAGAAAGGATGTAGAAAAAAATAGTAAAAAAATAGTAATGTACCCAGTACTGAACCTTGTGGAACCCCACAGCTTAACGAAGCAGTGTTAGAAGAGAAAATTCTCATCCATGAGAAAGAAAGAAATGTAATGCAGAGCCAGAGATACCAATGATGTGGTTTTTGTAATTTTGCCTCTGTACAATCCCACAATGTATTTTAAAGCCAGTAATCAAAATGTGCGAAAGTCTAGAACTGCTGGATGTCAACAAACGCTGTGTTTCCCATGAAGATGTTAGTGTACAAAAAGCTATGCATCTAATTATACATAAATGACACAAAAAAATCACAAGTTTCTTCCAAGTTTTTTTTTTTTACTTGTGCATAAGTGTAAGTGCAGCTTTGTAGGCTACCGCTTACTAGAGGCAGTTTTTGTAGATTCTTTACATACAGAATGAAACTACACATTATAGAATCCAACAAAAGAACCACTTAGTATTTTCTTGCTGGTCTTACTCATGGAAATGATTAAACCATAATTGTCTCTAATACTCAAATCAGATCTTTGCTGGATCCTGTCCTGAAAAGAGCCTCTTGGCATTGTGTAAGAAACCTGCAATGTGCCAGAGGAAAAGTGCTGACTGGGAAGAACCAAGTTATCAGTCTATGCATTTACTTAATCATGTTTAGGAATGATGTGGTGCCTGCCTAAGCTTGCATTCATGCACTGTGTCATTTTTCCCACTGAATACCAATATACTCAGTGTGTGCTAATTAACGGGATGTCAAAGAAGTGTTACAGGATGAACAGGAAGCTCTTCCTTTTGACTTTTTGATTTGCCCAGGGCCCTGTTTGTTACACAAAATCTTGCCCCTCTGTTTTCCTTTTTTCTAAAGATAGGTGCTGGAGTCATTAGGAAAACTATGTAAGAGCAATGTGTCATTCAGTCATAGCAGTTTACAACAGGCAGATACAGTGTGAGCTTTCCACAAGGAGGAGGAACTCCTGTGTGCTTCTGATCGATGGTCGACCGGTTGTACAAACATCAGCCAGCCAGAGGCAATAGCGCAGTGCAACATATTTAAAAATCATGTTGCTAATAATTGATTGCCAATCTTTCTCTCTCAGTCATACACTCTCTTAATGCTGGTGGAATGTTTTTCTCCCTTTAGAAGAAAGAGGAGGACAGCTACTATTATGAATACCCTTACTACGATGATTTGGAAAAGCCTTATGACTCAACTCTTGATTCTGAGACAACTGAGACAACCACAAAAGAGGTACCATTTCATGTTTGCTCTAAATGCCCGCATCTTATACATAACTGTATTGTTTCTATGTTACTACAGTAAAGCATCCATTGCCAACGTCCCCCTCCAAATATCTTTACAGGAGACAGAAGGGGACAGTCTGATCACAGGGGGTGAGATTTTGAAAGGCAGTTCTACTGGCACCGACTGGACCTCCATCTCCACCGGCTCATCCTCTCGCTCATCCAGCAGCTCTTCAAGTACTGACACCGGAGGAGGAGAAGATGATTACGCATTGGGGGTCACGTACGGCACCTATGAGGGCTATGACGACTACTATGACTCCACGTCTGCACCTGGTGGCGTTGATACCTCTCGAAGTGTCACCATCACCGGCATCGGCACTGGGGGCGAGCTGGACCTGGGAGCAGGGGGAAGGGTTGATTTGAATGCCGGGACTGGAACGAGGGTCATCACCACTGGTGAAAGGACTACAGTCACAATCTCCAGCAACAAAACATCAGTAGGTGGACATTAATCATGGGAGTTAATTGTTGTCAGTATTACTGTACACCTTTATGAATGGTATTGTACTTTGTATATATTCATTTTATTTTCTTTGTTCTTTTAAAAAAACTTTAAGAAGTTTGTAGCACAGGCAAAGTCAGACAAAGGTAGGGTGACAGAATACACAAACATGTATGTAGGAATAGGTCATAGATAATAACTACTGATTTGTGAATAATGGGACATAAATATAAATCGGGCTTATTATGTAGTATTATATTACAGTTTATTACTAACTAACTAGGCGGCTCATTCTCATTCAGTTGACATAAAACCTTTTTGGGGCCTTCTTGAAAGAAATGTAAAGAATGTAAAAATAAGGTCAGAGGTCAAATGTGACTAGATAGATAGTAAAGTCTACAATAAATAAACAAAAAAGTTAATGTAAAAGTGCACAGGTGCCTAGTAAGGGTCTGAGAAAATGTACATGTGCAACAGTGATTAAAAACAAAGAAAAGTAAAAATGAAGCATAGATTGGATGCAAACTATAGTGTGATGTTTAGAATCTCCATGTACCAGTATCATTTCCTACATGCTGCCAATACAAATGAAGGCAGTAGAATTTAAAGCATAGTTTTAAAGATAAAAGATGTTTCATGAAAGTTTGACCTTATTTGACCTTGACTTGAGATTCAAAGTTAAGTGATATTTATGTGTGTAAACAATAGCAGTAAGAAACATGGTTTTAAATAGCTCTATGTCTATTATCAGCATTAAATCTATTGACCTTGAAGGATAGGTCAGAGGTCAAACTTGTCATGATATTTTAAATCTCTATCCGATACTTTTATACGCTGACACACCACAATGGTAAGTCAATTATAATTAGATTGTCAAATCAATACGTTTATCTTGAAAATGTTGGTGGATGTAGGCCCAATGTTAATGGATTGTTAACACCACCCCACTCTACACCCCTACAAAATTTGATCAGGATTCATTCAAAACTTTTCGAGCTATCATGTTTATGGATGGAATGGTATTCAAAAGGCCACATTGCCAGTTATCCTCAATTATTCTGTCCTGTTAATTGTTCCAACAGGCAGGAGCCTCCCACGATGACTACGGATCCTACGGATATGACGACTATGACTTTGACAGGACCCACACCATTGATGGAGATGGCAGCAGCAGCAGCAGTACAATAAACATTGGAGGTGGAGGCAGCAGCAGCAGCAGTACTCTGAACATTGGAGGTGGAGGCAGCAGCAGAAGCACTACTGTGCATGTCAGTGGTGGAGGTGGTGGCAGCAGCAGCAGCAGTACTCTGAACATTGGAGGTGGAGGCAGCAGCAGCAGCAGCAGCAGCAGTAGCACTACTGTGCACGTCAGTGGTGGAGGTGGTGGTAGCAGCAGCAGCAGTTCCACCATCACTCTCGGGGGTGGAGGAAGTTCCGTGTCAGTGGGAGGCGGCTCAGCCAGCGCAGGCACCGGAAACCGAGGGTCCATCGCCACCGGCACTGGCCTGGATGTGGATGCCTATGATTACACGGAAGGGTTCAATCAGGAGGACCTGAAAAACTATGACGGAGAGCTAGATGAAACCTACGATTACGGCACAGAGCTGCCTAACATAGGGCTGCCCGCTAACACTCAGGATTATGGGCAGGTGAAATTAAACAGGATACACTGCAGAATAAAAATAAATCATAAAGGTGATGAAGATAAGTGAGGGTGGGCTGACTTTGTTTTTGTGTCTGTGCTGTGTAGGGTTACGGAGCTCATGGTGAGAAAGGACAGAAGGGAGAGCCTGCTGTTATTGAGCCTGTGAGTATGACTGTTTGAACAACACACACAAGCAGCAGACGAAGGCTCCGTTTGGGCTCATGGGGAGGACATATGTGTAATCCACATCTAAACACAAACTATCCCTTACTTCCTGAATAAGGCTCCATAAGCCACACAAGCTCACCACAGTTTTCTGTTAGCATCCTCGGACGAGGCCTTGCTCCTGGCTGTTCATCGTGGCTAAAGCATAAACATTTGTTGTAGAGCCATGCGGCAATTATTAATAAGCTCTACACACGGTGTAGGTAGCGTGTAATCACAAGGGAAGTAAAACCAGGAAGAACAATAGGAAGTATGAAAGGAATTGTTCAATTAAAAAACCTAAAACAGACACTCATATATATATGCAGGTAACACTGTGAAAATGTCTTCCTATATGGATATATATGCCACAAAAGGTTTGCATGTATCTAATACAGCACCAGCTGTTTTACTTCAAACAGAAGTCATGGAGCTCCACCAGGCATACCTGCCTCTGTGACTGAGTGCCTTCAGTGTTTACAGAAGGAGTTCATGTTTTTTGAGTCCACTTCCTTAATGAGCTTTTGTGTATGCACACGTATAAGCATGCTGGAACACACATACGCAACCTCCCAGTGTGCTTTTGTCCCTTTGCAACATGCAAAAAGCTGTGAGGTGGAAAACTAAGAAAGCTAAAAAATTACAAAAGGGCAACATGTTATAATACAGCCCTTGACTGAGGGTGTAATTCCCCTGTAACTGAGTGGACTTTCTATGTATTTTTTAAAAAAAAGTATGCAATAAAATTTACCTACAAATACTTAATGATAGGTACACTAAAATAAGGACCTAACAAGTCAGTTTTTTACAGGAAAGACGCTTCTGTAAATACATTTATTTGGTCAGTAAGTAATTTTAAGTAGCACAACGTCTGGATATTTTGCAGGAATTTTGACAGAAATTATGCTACAAGTACAAGTGTGGGCTGTATTATGAAGTGCTAACTTCAATGAAAAATAAATACATGTACAGACCCAGCCCCTCAATCAGTAGCCACAATGCAGGTGACACACAGGAATAACTGCAGGGATTGAAGAAAAAAAAAAAAAAACAAGTCTGAAGGAAGTGTTTAAAATAAAAATGCTCTGAAGGCAGCTTGAACTTTGGAGAGTGGGCAGAATTTTAATCTCAGAAAACAAAAAGCCAAATTGCTACCACAATGTGGTATTTATGTAGCTGTAGAGCTGCACTGATGCATCTGTTAAGTCAGATCCTTGAGTCTTTGAGACATTGAAATTAGATGACCTGCTATTATTGCCTTTGCAGTGTTACTGATCAGGCCTAACCCTAACTCAAACACTAACCCTACACTTAGACTGAACTAATTCCAAAATGTTCATAGTCATGGCTAAACTGGCTTTATGTTTCAGTTTGCATGTGTGAATAAGTTTAACATCCCCACTGATCTGATTAGCCCTTAACTGAACTTGTCCGGGTAGGGGAAGCACCTCAGGATGGCTTTGCCTGTTGTTTGCAGCCACTCTCTCGTTCTCTGTGGATCGACTGCAAACACAGCTGCAGTGACAGGCATGCATGCACATGAGTCAGCAAAGATGGGAACATGATGAAGGGACAAGTTTACAAGTGAACGTTTTCCTGTGTATTGTACTCAAGTGTGACAGTGTTGTTTGCAGCCACGTGCTTATGAATGAGGCCTAATGATTTGTGCTTGTGTGTTTCAGGGAATGTTAGTGGAAGGTCCGGCTGGGCCTGAAGGGCCAACAGTAAGTCAATCTTCCTGTCTCTTAACTTCCTGTGTTTTCCTTCCCCCCCCCCTCTCATCGTAATCGCTGCCGTTTTTCTTGGCAGCCGCTTGGTAAAGAAAAGCCAATAGAGCTTCCTTTCACGCATTCATTGTTTGTCTGCACTACCAGAAAATTCGAGTTTTAATGCTTTGCTGGCTCCCGATGCAAAAAGGAGTGGCCCGAGCAGTTCCCCCAAAGCGGTTTTTGGACTTGATTAGATGTCGAAGGAACGTCGTCATTTATTTAGGAAGATTCCTTTAATACAGATTTGCTTTGACACCCTGCAGATGGAGTCCAGCCACTGAAGCGTTGCACTACAATATAAACAAATAAGAATACCCCACAAAGATTTACAGCTTCACAGCCTCTCTTATAAAATATTGCCACATGCACATTCCGTTCTGCTGTATGTGACCATTTTGCAAGATGAAGGCAAAACCTTGTGTTGTATTGTGTGTATATATAGAAGTTAAATGAGGTCTTCTGTTTAAAATAGGGTCTCCCTGGACCCCCAGGTGCTTCCGGCCCACCAGGCAGTCCTGGAGATTCTGGAGAGAGGGTAAGGTTGTTTTTTTTGTTTTTTTTAATGTCCTAAACATCACCAGAGGTTTACAAATACAAATAATAAAACACTCACTTGTGTTTGTAATTTCCCATCTAAGGGTCTTCCAGGTCGTCCTGGTCTTCCTGGTGCTGATGGCCTGCCAGGACCTCCTGGAACTGTCCTGATGCTGCCTGTAAGTAAAATACAATTCTTCTTCTTCTTCTTCCAAAGTCAGAAATTCTAACTTAGTGCTTTAATCCTTGTTTAACCTCCTTTAAGACCAATTGTTATTATTGACACCGTGTTTTAGCGATAACTTATACAATGAAGTGGAATAAAGGGGGTTTCCCATCAAGCCATTTATGATGAGCCTAACCCTTACGAGTAGGGGTGGGTTTTGATAATCGATTTATCGATTAAAATTGATTCTGGCTTGGATAACGTGATATCGATTCATTAAAATCCTGAATCGATTTTTTAATATAAATTTATTTTGCCCGAAACGCCAGAATCTCAGGTGAAACCTCACAAAATTTCAACAACTACCAAACAGCTAAAACAGTAAATGAGAGCAGGAACACGGATTCTGCACATAAATGTAAACACAAAGCACAGACCCGCGGACAAGAATCAGTGAGATGTCGCCTTTCTCACCCGAGGGCACGGACACAGTCGGGGCTGAAAGCCGAGAGCTCGCTGATTCTGATGTTTCGGTCCGCGCTTTGTGTTCACGCCCTTTTTGCGCTGATTCTAAAGCTGTTAGTTTGATCTCTCTCCAAACAATATTGACCGAACCAGCAGCAAAAGAAGATCCAAACTACGCTTCACATAAACATCGTCATGAATTCCCTCTGACTTTTGCTGTTTTGCTTCCAACATGATAAAATCACACTTCATGCACAGCTCTCTCTCTCTCTCTCTCTGTACTTCAAGAACAGTTTCCCGTCTAAAAATCTGTTTTCTGCATTATTCGCTTGCTTGTTACGCACAAGTCTACCGTTGTTTGTAGCGCTGTTGGCCGCTGTTTTTTTCCTTTTACTTCCGAAAAGAAAACCTCATTTCTGCTGTTCAATGGGCTTCTGAACAAATGTAAACTTTTTAAAATTATGCAAAATGCAAAACGCTTAGCCGTGTCTCTAATAAAACCGCTGTAACTTCAGAGGCCATGTTCATATGTTGATTAATGTTCTTCTTTCGTTTTTGATGTACTGCAGAATATTTTTATAAAATCCCAGGCCAGGAAAATCACCTTCATGTTTTTCTGTGTTTTATCTTCAGCTACTTTGACACAGAAGCATCTGCTGTGATGCTCACACCTTTGATAAAGTCTTGAGAGTGTCAGCTTCCTTTTTATAGATACAAAAATATGTAAATGTACTGATCTGAATTATAATATTTCTGACTGTCTGAGGCAAAATTTCCCAGATTTAAATCGAATTGAATCGAATCGTGGATCGAATCGTTTTGGGACCTTGTGAATTGGAATTGGAATCGATTCTAGAAATCAGTGACGATACTCAGCCCTACTAACGAGCGTTTTGTTGCATAAATATGTGCTTCAACATGTTGAGTGAGATTCTTAAATAACAGCTGTAATGTCAGCTCCTTCAAGTTCACAAACACAAATCCTAGCCAAGTCAGCAAAGTTAATGCTACCGAGCATCTTTTTTTTTTCTATGTCAGACTTGACCGCAACAGTTGCTCAGACATCCTAATAGCTTCCTGTGATGTCTACCTCCTCCGCTTTCTTTATTAGGTGCTGGCAAAATGCTGCTGCTGCGGTTGTAACTGATTAGTTGTGCAGATACAGAGTTGTGGTTTCAGGATTCCTCAAAAACTGTCTGGCGGAGTCATGTGGCAAGCTCTGTCTGGACAAGGTGTTCTGGTGTATCCGCTGGCAGAAAGCCGGCAATCCTTGAGCTCCAAGTCTAATGAGAAACACGCCTTCTCATCATTTCAAGACGTTCTGTCTTGAAATGATGGAGTCAACATGAGCAGCATGGCAGGGTTAGGTGGCAAATCTAGACACTGGTGAAGCAGCTTCTCTTTGTCCTCTGTGGACGTCTGGCTTTTTTTTTTTTAGCCATTTCTTGATAAATCAGAACATCTCGTTTGCATGGCAGAGATAGAATCAAGTGGACGAAGAAAAACTGCGGGATTTGTGGGAAAATATGAAAAAATATTGTTTTTATTCAGCTGCAGTACATCTGACTCATTCCTGATGTTCTAGATCAACGGTTTGTATTTTGCTTCGTGGCAACAACCCTCTCTGTGACTTTGAAATCCTGCACAGCATTTCACTGCTGTGTTGCCTCTGCATCTGCAGCACAACTGACAGTCAGTCTCCTGAGGACTGTGCCGTGTAATCCAAACCAAGATGTCTGGCCCAAACAAAGTCAAGAGTTGCACCATAGGCATGAATATTCATGTTAGGGTGTAATGCTGGCTTATCACCACCAGATGGCAGTCGAATGTGAACATTATGGCCTGCAAGCAGCCATGGATGGAGCTGATTTGACAGCTGGAGGCTGTAGCATAGTTGTTGTTGGTTTTTTTGTTGTTGTTTTTCTTAAATGGACAGACTGTATTAAAGAAATATTAGAGCTATTGTTGGTAACAGTGTGTGGCTGTATAAACTTAAAAGATTAATTTTGCCACAGGCCAGCACTTTAGTCCTTACACATGCTTCTCTTGGCTCTCATTTTTTTGTTTCTTGTGTATTCCTTTTTATGGGACTGAAGTCTCACCAAGCTATCATTCCTTCCATAGTTCAGACTCAGCGCCGGAGGTGACTCTGGGCAGAAGGGACCTGCTGTATCAGCACAGGAGGCCCAGATGCAAGCCATCATGCAGCAGGCTAGGGTAACAGTTTACACCTTCACATTTCTGCTATTTTTACTGCTCTTTGTTGCTAAACTCTGCGAACTATAAGATTCTCATGTGGAAAATATCTTATTTCAGATGATTTCATTCTATACTTTTAACTTTTTTCCCTCACTTCTCCTCAAATGTCATATTTTTTTTTAATTTTTGTTTCGTTTTTAACATTTTGTTACTGCTTATCACATGACTTTTACTGTATTTGTGGCACATTTCCTACAATGTTCTTCCTCATTTATTATTAATAGATGCTGCATTTTGTGAATTAAGTTTAACATTAACATGCAGAGCACAAGTATAGACACAGTATACAGCAGAGACAAATATGATTTGCTAAATCTGCTGTAGTTCTATTCACACATGAGCTAAATTGTCCTCTTTCTTTCTTTTCCATATGTTTCATTTGGTTTCATTTTTATGTTATTTCTCCTTTCTTTGGTCAGCTGGCTATGCGCGGTCCTACAGGGCCAATGGGTTTGACTGGCAGACCTGGACCGCTGGTATGTATGGCAAATCACCTCCCAGCAAAAACACTGAAGCACAAATACTCTGATCTGCAGATTCTGTGGCACACAGGATGGTCTTGCTCAATTGTTATATGAATTTTTAGTCAGTATTTTTCTTTTTAAGGGTCCTCCTGGTGTACCAGGACTGAAGGGGGAGTCTGGAGAGGCAGGACCTCAGGTACTAGAAATCACCATGCTACATTCTGTTTTCAGGATCAGTTTCTGATCATATCAGTCTAAGCAAATGTGGAAATGTGTTCACTAATGCTGAGCCTTTGTAATATTCCGTTACTAGCAAATCAGCTAAAAAGCCTAATTTAGGTGGATAGATTGGAAATGAAAAAGATGGCTCAGTGATTTACAGCACTTTTGTTTTAGGGACCACGTGGACCTTTGGGAACCCCTGGACCTCCTGGAAAGCCTGGTAGACGAGTAAGTTGTCAACCAAGCTATTCAGCAGCAAAGAAGTAATATTAAGACTAAGCATGATAGTTTTTATGCACTTCACAGTGTTTGTTTGCGATTGCAAATAGTAAATGCTCTGTGATTGTCTTGATCTGGAGGTAGAACATGTGCTGTTGCTTTTACAGGGTCGCTCTGGAGCTGATGGTGCCAGGGGCATGCCAGGACAGACTGGACCAAAGGTATGTCGTCTTTTCCATTCACGATGCACTTAAATGTGCCACTTTTGACAAAAAGATTTTTTGAAGTTAATTTTTAAGCTGAGGTGGTGATCTATATCATTAAATGTTCTTTTTTCCCCGCTTTTAAGGGAGACAGAGGATTTGATGGTCTGGCTGGACTTCCTGGTGAAAAAGGACACAGAGTAAGCATTTTAACCTTTAACCTGAGAGGTGTGTGCCTGTTGGAATTTGGACAACAGTTAAACATGTTCATATTTGTTTTCACAGGGTGAACCCGGCCCCCATGGACCTCCGGGTGGTCCTGGAGAAGATGGAGAGAGGGTAAAACAAAAAAAAGAAAAGAATTTCACTCCTGCCCCTTCATTTTCTTATCAACCTCAAGTGCTGTGCACACGAAGTCGCACTATCTGAATTTGTTCTGCTCTTGCACAAATGACTTCTTTGCAGGATCCTTCCCAAACACACCGTTTTGTCATCATTTGAATTGAACTTCCACTTCCTACTTTCTCCTTCTCGTCGATTTCGTTCCTTATAATACGTTCAGTTTTTTCTTTTTACAAAAATACCTTTTCCCAATTTCCCTCACCTTCTCCATTAAACACAACTGATGCAACTTGATCCCCCACTTCCTCTGTTTCTTCATTATGTTTTCACATTACACACACACACACACACACTTGCACATCCTCACTTTCTCCTCCATTATAATTCACTGTCTGTTCCACAGCCTGACCTGCTCTTTTCTTTCCCAGGGAGATGATGGAGAGATCGGACCCAGGGGACTTCCTGGTGAACCAGTGAGTGATCACATATATTACCATTCAGTCTTACACTCAGGGAAATGTATAAGAGCTGCAGGCCTGCTGTCATCATGTTATTGTGTTACTGAACAATCATACTGTCGGCTGGTATCATATATCACATGTTCATAGTCATATAGACTTGGAATTTTTTATTTTTTAGTGCTATTGTGGTGCAAAGTGAATGTTGATCAGAACTCATGTGTACAGGGGAATCTCTAGTGGTGAGAAAAGCAAGCAGAACACATCAAGCTTCTTTTAATAGCCTCCCACACCCCGCCTCACCCATGCAGGATACTCCCTGCGGAGGGTGGAAAAGACAGGAAAAGGAGAAACCATCAGAAAGCCCTTGATATTGCATTTATATTTTTATCCACCAGGGTGCGCTACATTGGTTTGAATTCACACAGTCAGGACAATCCATCTACTTGGGTAACTGTAGCTGTGAGGCATGGCACACAGAAAAAAAATCACAGCACTGTTTCATGGGTACGGCTGAGGGAAATGCAAGAGTAGTAAAAAAAGAGAGAGAGAAAGAAAGAAAGAAGGAAAAAAAGGAGAGCGGGCTTCAGCTTTCCCTCACATCTCACTCTGTAGAAAATCCTCAAGGACATTTGGAAAGTGAGGTTATTTCCAGCAGTATAATTTTGAAACTTGATTTAGCTGAACGTGTTTAATAATGCATCAGTCCTTTTTCACAGGTGTGATATCACTCTCAATCTCATTTCCCTTCATTTTTACCACAGGGGCCTCGGGGTTTGCTGGGACCAAAAGGACCTCAGGGACCTCCTGGACCACCTGTGAGTGCCCACCCCCCACCCAACCCTCTCACCTCTCCTTCAACTTCTCAACTTTTCATATCCAGCAATAGATTTACAGTTTAGAGAGCGGAATCAATTTTTTAGCATCTCATAAGCAGCGAGAGAAAAGGGAAGGGCAAACAACAACCACGGGGAAATACAAAACTCAATATCTCTCAGACACAATATACAAAAGAGTAGCATATGTTATTGAGTTTAACTTCAGCTTCTCTGATAGATGTCTACAGTGCAGCGAGGCTTCAATCTAATTTGTTCCAGCGGATTTAATTTAACATGGACACTGCACATTTTTGAAACTGATATCTCTCTGTAGGAGTTAGCGATTCAAATACATCAGACTTTAAAATTCATTCACACAGTCGATTCTGTCCATTTTAGTCTTTTATAGATTTGCTGCCTTTCCCTTTTCATTTTTTGTTCTTAATGTTCTTTTGTCACCTGCTGTAGGGCGTTACTGGAATGGATGGCCACCCTGGACCCAAGGGAAACATAGTAAGTGAAGCTGGAATGAACTAAATTGCCTATATGTGCAAACTCTCAGATAAACCAACACGCACAATTTCAATTTCAATCAACGTTTACTTAATTTCACCCTCAAAAAAGCCCATGATATGCACTCATGGGCAAACACACACAAGCACACACACACCAGTTCAATCAGACATTAAGACATAATGAAGAATAGGCTGCCTGTGTTTAGGTCTATTTGAGCAGTCCACCTCGGCCGCTTGTACCATTCCAGCTCAATTTCAGGCAGCTCCCGGCTGTAATGAGAGAATGCCTAACTGAAGCAGCTCCTTTGTTCTGTTGGGAACGATCCAACGAGGTAGAGATGAAAGACCAGGAGCGTTCCCCGACTCTTGGCCTGAGGAAATATAATTGATTGCCAGTTATCTCATTGGGAAAGGTGTTGTTGTGTTTGTGCCTCAGCAGTTTCTTTCATTAGGAAAGTAGTTGCGGTAATGTGCACTGTGTACGTGTGTGTGTGTCTCTTACCTCGAGCTGTGGAAAGATGCTACTCCATCAGTCCAAAAGTTGTGGCTTATTGTGTTGTTATGAGGTAATCATGCAGAAGTGTGCTACTGCTTCTCATTTATATTTTTTCAGAGGAAATTTTCCCCTTTGTTGGACAATGCTGGTCACCAAATCAGTTTCACATTCACACAGCCTGGTTGAAAATCAATAAATTATTCAGTCTTTTCTACATGGGGAGATTTCTAAGACAATTTTTCTTTTTCAGGGACCCCAAGGAGAGCCAGGACCTCCCGGACAGCAAGGCAACCCAGGAGCCCAGGTGAGTGATGAAAATGTAGTGTGAATTTCAGATCTTTCTTTCTCGGAAGTGTGAAATGAAAGCTTGCTGATCATTTTTGTATCCTCCCCACAGGGACTTGCAGGGCCTCAAGGACCCATTGGACCTCCAGGAGAGAAGGTAACATACCACGTGGCTCTAAAATCCTGTAACTCCACTAAAAAAAAACTCTAAGATGCTATAAAAACAAAAAGAATCAGAATGTATAAAATAGCTGGTCGCATTCATTTTCATGAGCGGGAAGCCAAGTTGCTATCTTATTCAGAAATGCTTATCACACAATTATGCAAATGCCTCCTCATCCCCAATGCAGGACTAAATGTTGCCTTGTAGACGGTACAGACAGATTTGAATCCTGATACATTTTAATTTCATTTCAGCTAAATTACATTGGCTAACTTATATGGAGCACACTCACTTTATTATTGAGCATTTGGGATTTGGTAATGTAGGTACCGCGTGTGCCCTGATTTTAAAAGACATTAAAGCCATCATGATATTTGCTAAGTGTAATAAAGCGAAACAGTAGACTTAAATCATAGATCTTTGTCTTAAGAGCTTGAATTTAATACAACACATTCAATACATATGCAAGACTTTGCCACCCCAAAACACCATGTAAATAATTTTTGGGACTAGAGCTAATGAGCATAACAAAGAGAAAATAAATCTGCATCCTATTATCGTCATGATTCATTTTATGTGTCTGTACCTTTGCTTGTCTAAGAATCCTACTGTTTGTCTTTTGGCCACTGAGGTTAAAATGAATTATAATGACAATAAATGAAATTTTACGCACACTCATCATCACCAAAGGATGACACCTACAGGATTTTGTGATCCCCTGGGTTCTGGTGTCATGTGTGGGCTTCTGGGATATGTCTCGCCAGCATTTGAATGGATTATGTAACAATAGTCAGTGTTATATCAGCTAAACCTCACGTTGTTGTTATACCGATAGACATCTATATCCTGTGATGGCTCCGTGTGCTCTTGTTATCTTGTCATGTTTACTCTGACCTTCTATCATCTACCCAGGGCCCGACCGGAAAGCCAGGCTTGCCAGGAATGCCAGGAGCTGATGGCCCTCCGGTGAGTTTTTAGGCCACGTTTCCAAAGAGCCGTATTTTATCTTTTTCCTCCCCTCTGTCTGTTTATAAAGAGTTTTTTATAGGTAGCTGTGAGAACTCACATTTTTAAAGCCATATCTCTAATTTTATTTTATACAGCCTTTTGCTTCACAGGATAAAACACATCACAACAGACGCACTTTATATAGGCAAACAGTCCCTCTGACATCCCTGCACAGACTGCTTTAATGGCAGATGTTTCTTGGAAGGTACCAGGTGGCACCTAAGAGAGATAGGGCCAAGATTTGAATAACTACAGGGCAAGAAAAAGATTTAAAAAAAAAAAGCAAAACAGAAAAAGGAGATAAAGTAGAGCCCCACGACACACAATATCTCTCAGCCTTTTAATAATTTCTTTTGAGGGTAGTTCTCCCTGAGTTACACAGCCAGGCTGTTCCTGTTAAATCTGTTTTGTTGCATATAAAGCAAGCACAATATTCCCAACCTTAGTGCTCCCTTTCTGCCTCTTCTCGTGTATCTGTTTCTCTCTCCATCCTCATATCACTAATAGCCCATCAGAGGGTTTGCACAGCTCCTTTTGTTAATGAGAATGCAATCATTTTCCTCTTAGTCCTTTCAGATGAGCATCCATGCATGTGTGTGGATGTGTGCGTTTTTTGATGAGGTGGAGTTTTGTGCCATACATGCACGATGCTGTTTGCTATATTGCTTGTACAAAATTAAGAAAATGACAGTCTGTGCTTTTTGAGCTCAGTGATAGCTAGTAGGGCCTCTTTAATACAAATCTCAAATGCAATTAGACTGCAATGGCTCTATTTTTTTTTTTTTTTTTGCAGTTTTCCACTTTGATACGTCCCTCCAACAGTTTTAATAACCTAATTTCTCTGTTTAAGGGGCCTTGTGGTATTTATGGTAGTAATTATCCTCAAATGAAATGCCATAATATTGCTCTTAATAATTCACAGGGTCACCCTGGAAAAGAGGGGCCTTCTGGAGAGAAAGGCCACATGGTGAGTTTTATTACATTTGCTTCCCATGAGCTAGCTTTCATTTCTTCCTTCCTTTATTTACGCTTTTCTCGCTTTTTCGTTTCCCCTCCTGTTGTCCTTGTTCAGAAACATTTGCATAAAATGTGTTTGCATTCACGAAGATAAGATTAGCAAAATGTGTGCGTGTGTGTGTGTGTGCATGCTTGGATTGTTAAAAACTACCTGCTGCAAACTCTTATTAAATATTTGTCTCTCTAGGGTCCTCCTGGCCCTCAAGGACCTATTGGTTATCCTGGGCCTCGAGGCGTGAAGGTGAGTTGATTATCAACCACTAAGAAATTAATTTTATGTATTTTTTTGTACTTTGCATTTAATGTGTTAATAGTTCCCCAATATCTCATTTGAGTGTTGTTGTTGTTGTTGTTGTTTTTTGGTGTTTAGCCAACCAGACTAGTGTGATTTTGCAAATAAATAAATAAAAATCCCCTTAAAAATGTTTTGTATAGGCTTCTATCTGTGTTTGTCAGAAAGACTGAGATGGCAAAGGGGCTGATAACAGTTCAAGGTGCACAGCCCTCTCCTTCCTCTGTGCCATTAGTATCTGATGAAACCGAGACAAAAGAATTCCCATCAAATAATTCTTGGAAAGAAAGTGTGACTGATCCAATCATTAAAGCTGCTACTGAGCTAGGGGGATCACACAAGTGGCTCGACTCGTAGCTAATAGTCCCCCTGTTACATGGCTGAAGTCTGCTCTCAGGGAAGATGAAAAGATTGGTCAAGAAGGAACAAACTTTGTATGCTAATTTATACACCAAAACAATGAAAATGAATCCATCCTAAAGAGTATCCTCTTTTGCACAATTTACTTCTAAGTTTTAAAAAAAAGTGTAGCCGTCCGTTATCCTCCCCACTGGTTTGTAATTTCTGCCTGTTCTTGTATCACAGGGAGCTGACGGTGTGCGTGGCCTTAAAGGACACAAGGGTGAAAAGGTAATGGAATTCAAACAGCCGGCTAAAAAATGTCTAAGAAAGTTGTGTGGACTTATTTGATCATCTCTGCATGCATACCAATCAAATGGTTTCAACATCGTTTTCTTTATCCTTCTGCTAGGGAGAAGACGGCTTCCCCGGCTTCAAGGGAGATATGGGTATCAAAGGCGACAGGGTAAGGCTTGTTTGTTTAAACTTGACTGCTGGATGAATCACTCAAATGATCACATTAATGAAACAACTCTTAAGTGCTGCACTCAGAACTAGCTTTGTTTTATTGGGGGGGTGAGGGTGACCTTTATCCACAGTAAGTGAAAGGAGCAACCACTCCTGGCACTTTATCCACTTTCATTGCCTAAGCCTCTGTGACTACCGCAGAATTGTGGCTAATGAGCAAACATAAGGTGTTGTTCCAGTTGACAAGCGGTTTGTGTGCGTGCGTTTGTTTTAATGTGAGCAGTTTCCAATTTCTTTTCCATCCCCATTGCCTCTTTCCAGTCACTCCTAACCTCGACAACTTTAGGAGAAAAGCGCGACTTTGACAGGTTTTCCTGACTACAGCCTCTTTCTCCAAAGTGCTTCAGGGATTTACACTGTCAAGTCTTAAGAAAAAAATGCTTTCTACAGTAAGAAACATAACTTGCACAAGCCAATACTTCAAACATCAACCCTCCAATCCCTGACCAGGCTGTCTCTAGCTGAGCATAGAAAGGAAGGAGAAATCAATGGCACTTTAAACCCCTTTAAACCCGGGAGAGAGACATGCAGCTCCAGCTTATTTTCCTCTGGAGATGCAGCAGATCCAGATGAAAGCAAAGATTTGAGGAGGCCCTCTGCTTTGGAGATGCACATAGACCGGAATGTAAATGACTCATTTTGAAGCGTGCCTATGAAAAGTGTGTGAGTGTGCTCAATTTAAAGTGTTCTGTTTGATGAGCTTGCAAGTGTGAGTCAAGTACAGTTTGTCTGATGCCGTTTTAAGTGCTGGTGTGCGAGCACACTGGCTTTGCCTTCAACTCTGCGCAAGCCTTTAGCTAGATATCTTTTTACACACCACCAGGTCTCATGCAACAGTGACTGGCTGTCAGAGTGAGTTTGTAGTCTGTCACTTAATATGTGTCCCGCTTGAAGGAAAGCACACTTAAAAAGAGAAGCAATATTAAAATAGCTAATTTCTTTAATGATGAAGCAACAGAAATTAGCATCCTTAAGCACCTTTTTACTCACAACAGTTTTGAAATATAAACAAAGAATTGATTGATCTATTCGATGAATAATAAAAGCAAAGCCTTCTTAAGTTATAGAGCAAAAAGTGACCATATTTGTGCAAGAGGATGGAGGTCTAAGTTGTCAAAAGTGCAAGCTAGCTTGGTTAGCAACCAGCTAATTAGTGCTAATAGATGTTTTGCAGGCACGTGACCGCTTACCAGTCTTGTAGGACATTGCGCTCAAGTGATTGAATAGCCTACTAAACATTATGTAAATGAGATTAACTATGGCAACTATGAGTAAACATACAAGTTGATATACTCCCTCAGAGGAAGTAAAACACTTTAAAGGCAAGCATCTTGTTTATTAAGGTAACAAGCTATATAGAGACTATAGAGAGCAAAACTGTTTTTTTATACCAGTCATAACAAAATACTTGTTTCAGATCTCTCTTATAGTACCCAGATTCATTGTAATCACCTTAGAAAGCTATATGAGTGGAAAAATATTCCCACTGATGCTAATAATTTGTGAATGCACAGTCAATAGAATAATCTTCGCTATAACCTGAGGGGAGAGATGTGCTCAAGTACCTTGTTTTTGTTTGTTTGTTTGTTTACCATACAGGCTAATGGCATTTGTATTTTTTACATCTTGTGCTTTCCAGGGAGAACTTGGACCAGCAGGACCCAGAGGTGAAGATGGCCCCGAGGGGCCAAAGGGTCGTTCCGGGCTTCCAGGAGATGCTGGTCCTCTTGGCCCAAGTGGTGAGAAGGTGAGATTCTTAAAAAAACTGACTTAAACAGAGGCAGAGTAATTGCTTGACTGGTCCAATCCTTATCCAGTGAGGACAGGCGAAACTTGTGTTTGTTATTCACAGTGTAATTTAAAAAGCAGATATCCATCCGAATCTTGGTCACACATTAGCTAACAGCAGTCTCTTTCATGCCTAATTATAGCCTTCACACCAGCTTTTCCCCACACACTGATCCGGTTCTAAAAATACCGCTGTAGTGTTTCTGCACGTTTTAATGGAGATGTTACTCGCTAGAATAACAGAGTTTTTATTACTTAAACTCACAGATGCAAAGAGCTTACAGCATACTGTGGGAGAGAGCCAGCCTTCTTTACTTGCATTAAGTTAGGAATGTACATGGAATTAGGAGATCAGCGAGGTAAAGAAAGTCTGTAGATAACTCGTAAACCCTATTTAGACTGTGTGGGCATCTTCACAAGTGCTGCTATTTTGGTTTATGTAGTTCATGAAAACATCTTGTGTTCAACATTATAAATACTTCTTGCATTGCAAGAATCAAAAAAAAATTAAGACACTGCTTTTGCTACAGACATAGCTGAAATAGAGGCTGTGGAATACGGGATTGATGAGATTTATAAGCAGAGTGCTTCATGTATATAGAGCTGTTTGCGGCTACTCTGTAGCAACCTGGCTAATCACAGTAAACACAGTTGGCAGCCTCTGTGTAATGGCTGTAGTGTCCTGCTGCCCTTCAGATGAGTGTAGTAGTTCAGCTGGGTACAGAGAAGGTTCATATACAGTATAATGTATGTGTAGATTATAGGTACTATAGCAAAGACAGTGTTAATATTAAATTATAAATCAACAGACTCTTACTAGACGTTGTAATTATAAGTTTTAATTTGATGCCAATTTAAATCCTCTGTTGGCTTGAGAATGTTTAATTAAAAACATTTATTTACATTTTTTTTTTACAGGATTTTATTTGAAATAATCCCATCATCGCCATGCATTTGGCAGATGCCAAAAGCACACATTTCTCTCAAAGTCTGAAACATCTTGTCTTTTTAATATGAGAAGAGGTTATCACTGGTTATCAGGTGTCACGGATTAAGAGGAATAATTTGGTACGGCTCTAATAAGGAGTTTGGTTTGAGGCAGGAGAAGATCAGTGGATTAAGTAAATGCTGCGTTAAATGTTCCGTTTTTACATTTTTACATAGAGCAGGAACCTTATTATGTCTCTTAATTTGATGAATCGTTTCATGGAGCTCAACCTTGTCGTTTTTTTTTTGTTAAAAGTAGTAAATTAATTTTTGTAAATACTTTTTGATAAACTTTTATAAGTTCCTGTCAGGACCGTATATAACAGTATACTTACTAATCTTTCTCTTTTACAGGGTAAACTCGGAGTTCCTGGATTGCCAGGATACCCAGGAAGACAAGGACCAAAGGTAATTGCATTTATACTGCTAAAGAGCATTGTTATTAATTTACTGATTTTACCATATCCATGCTCGGTTACAGTAATTACTGTATGTTAATTTGGGCGAGGCACCAATGAAACCAATGATGCCGCTAGATGAACATACAGTATTTCACCACCAGTCCCTGGGTTAGCTCTGTGTTATCTGTTAGAGCTTTCTGTGTTCATGGACACATGAACTTGCGTGACACTTGTTAGGGTCAGTCGACTGCTGCTTTTTACTATTTTATTAAGTTCCATATTTGTAGAGCCTGTCAGGTTGGTTTAATTGCTGATCATCTAGCTCTCCAATAGTTTTTTCGTGGCTGAAAATATACCTCCATTCATAAGCCTTTTCAGGTTATGTCTACTTACGTGTAAGTTGTTTAGTGTATGGTGTTAATAATCCCAAATTATTCTCAAATAATTGCCTTTCTTTTTTTTTAAACAGTTTTTTTAAATTGTGCTTTAATGTGACTTTATCTTTCTTTTAATTCAGTGTAATAATTTAAATTATGTCTTATTTCCTTGCTTTGGCCAACATTGCTTGTTATTAAACTTACTTGACAATTTAATTTAAGCTAATGTTAGAACTCACAGAGACACAGTTAACCTGACCAAAATGTGCTTTTCTGTGTGTATTTGAAAGAGAACGAGGAAAATAAAAAATACACACACGTGCATGTGCAGGCTGCTTTTGCTGAACTTTTTGATGGCTCATCGTTTAGCCTCTCTGAGGCAAAGCTGCAGTCTGACAAGCGGACATGCTTGAAGCTTCCTGATCAAAGAGCTGGGGATTTGAATATGCTATTTGGTGTCAGCCTTCAGTTGCTGATACAATAGCAATAAAGGAATGCTGTTACTTGTGTGCATGCAGTCTTCTGTTAAATGTATTAAGCTAGGGGTATAAACAAGGAATATAGTGACTGTGTTTGCTTCTCAAATGATTAATTGCTCTCTTGCTCACACACAGGGATCCCAGGGTTTCCAAGGTTTCCCTGGTGCCAATGGAGAGAAAGGAACTCGGGTATGTATGTAGATAGACTTCTTGATATTCTTCTCATTCCCTCAAGGGTTGGATACAGGCGTACCGCCAGAAACAGGCTCCCGTCCCAGCTCCAGATTTATCAACCTAGTGGAAGTTGCATGGCTCTAACACAAAGCAACAGAGACACAATTGCTCACCATCGCAATTGCTTTTCATTACCACTTGCACAATTCATTTGGATACCCCAAAAGCTTTGTTTATCACTTTGTGGCTCTTGAGCAATGCTTCATTTTCTTTTGTCGAAGGGATGGGTCATTAGCTCGCCTGCAAGAGTAATGGTTTGTCAACACGAGTGGAGCAAGGCGCATTAAGCTTTTTCATCTTCACAAAACATTTGTAAAGTTTATGAGACCCAGCTCCGAGACAGAAAGGGATAATAGAGCTATTAAGATAGTTTCACAACACTTGTTTGAAACTTAAAAAGCTACATAAAAGATTTAATAGTTTTCCTCATTAAATTTGTATGTAGCCAGTGTCATTGTAACACTGCTGCAAAATTGCTATATCATGCATAATTGATTATTAAAATATCATTTTCCAAGGTGGCAATGACTTCACATGTAAGTGAAGATAAATGTTAATGGTCTTTTTTTTTTTTTTTACAGTAAATCCTATTTTATTATAAAAAGACTATTTCTGAGCTCATAAATGGCTCAATTGTGCTTGCAAACATTTCTGTCTCCTGGCATTAGAGTCATTCTTCCAGAGGATGCAGGATCTTAATAATGTGAGTGGCATTCCTTTGATCCTTGTGTGTGTTCTTCGTGTCCACAGGGAACAGCAGGAAAGCCGGGCCCACGCGGACAGAGAGGACCAACGGTTAGTCTTACTCAGCAGACTCGTGCTTCCATGCAGATGGCGAACTTGGCACCTGAGTAAAAGTGGCCGTTCGACCTGAACGTGCTCGAAGGGGAATCCACACTGAGACAATAACCAAGCTTTTCAGATCACATGCATCCTTTACAAACTTTTTTTTGTTAAAAAGCTTTTTTTTTTCTTTCTTAAGGGGCCTCGAGGAGAGAGAGGACCAAGAGGACCGACAGGAAAAGCTGGTCCAAAGGTGAGTATTAGTATTTATTTTAATGCCACTTTCTGAAATATGTCATTATACATGTTCACATTTGATTCCTTATTTTTTGTGTCCAGGGTAACTCAGGGAATGACGGCCCACCGGGACCTCCCGGTGAGAGGGTGCGTACCGTAACAGCATCACCAGGAGTCATTTTATTCTCGGGACGTGCAGAGGTTTCGATCAGACACGCAATTCTTAACTCAATTATGTGCTTTTTAAATTTTTATAGGGATTGCCTGGGCCTCAGGGACCAACAGGTTTCCCAGGACCAAAGGGCCCCCCTGTAAGTCCAGACACTCTACTGAAATATGACCTTTGCCCTTTGTCTTTCCATTCTGTGTGACCTTTAATATAAATTCTTTAATTTGTTTGAAATTCTCAGGGACCTGCAGGGAAAGACGGATTGCCAGGACATCCTGGACAGAGAGGAGAAACTGTGAGTGTGCTGTGCTTTGGTTATTCAACTCTTTATCTTATATCTATATCCACTGAGGCAACTTTATGACTTTTATTTCCTTTTTATAATACACAGGGATTCCAAGGCAAAACAGGCCCTCCTGGTCCTCCAGGAGTGGTTGGACCTCAGGTGAGTGACAGCCACTGAGTGTTTCTCTTAGTTGCTTCATTGACGCACAGCTTTTTGTTCACTGTATTCCTTTGTGCGCAAACAAATAGCTATCAATTTCCTACAAAAAATAATTAAATATGCATTTGCATTGTTTTTCGAAAAATTAGGCTCTTGCAGAATTGCAAACCTTTCACACACAGAAGCACAATAGAAACCTATAAGTTGTCATTAGGAATGCTTTCTTAGCATTTTGCTCAGTGAATGAAAATCGATTTAGCTCCTCTTACCTATATCTCAAGAGCCACGACTTAAGTGTTGTTTATCCTCTTTCATATTTGCAATGGGCTCTTCATCCATTATGCATAAATGTTTAACAGACTTTTCCTCCCAGCCGTTCTGCTAATGCCGGCTGTGGACGTTCATAATAATGAAGCTGTATGTGGCTTTAATGACTAGTAAGCCTCCCACACAGCAAATGTTCAGCTTTTCCTCGCCACGTTTCTAATAAATGGAAAAATTGTTATATCATTTTTGTGTGAATTTGCTGATTTTGCTCTCTGCTTTGTCCCTCTTTTCACACTTCCTCTGTAACTTGGTTTTATACTTTAGTGTTGAATGGGATATATTTATTTATTTTCAATTCTAGGGACCAACAGGTGAGACTGGACAAACGGGAGAACGTGGACACCCTGGACCCCCGGGACCACCTGGTGAGCAAGGTCTGCCTGGAGCTGCAGGAAAAGAAGGAGCGAAGGTGAAACTTGATGTTCTATTTATTAGTAAACTTTTTTTTTTAACACTGTCAGCTAATTGAAATACATGTATGTAACTACAAAGCTCGTATTTGTTTCCCATTTCACTTACAGGGTGATCCTGGGCCTGCTGGCCCGTCTGGTAAAGATGGCCCACCTGGGCAAAGAGGTTTCCCTGGAGAGAGAGGTCTGCCTGGTCCTGTGGTTAGTATTGCCTTCTGCTTTGTTTAAAGCCTCGTGACAAAATCAATATCACTCACAGCTTGGTTATTGCATAATAGTTCTGGACTATTAAATTTCTGTAAGAATGCGGTAAACCTCAAGAAATGGAGATGATATCAGATCTACTCGTCAGTAAAGGAACAGCCTGCTCTTGGCTGATTTTTCTATCTTTTTCAAATAATTCTAACTTGACAAAGTCGTGTCCTGGTAGTTACGCAACGTATGCTGTTTTCTTCATGCCATTTTATTACAAAGCCTTTTTCATTAACCTTAGGATTCAGACTTTATGTGATGCACTAGCTCCTTTGGGTGTTTGCTGCAGTTTTACCAAACTGTTTTCCCCTTCAACTCTCAACCTTCACTTTGGAGTCTATAGGAGGCTTTCCATCTCATGCTGAGCCTCTTTGCAGATAAGGAGTGCAGTGTAAGGTAGAATGTGTGCTTCCCCAACAGATGTGTTTGTTTTCTGAGGCCTTTATTTCACTCTCATCTGCAGGGAGCTCATGGCCTGAAAGGGAATGAGGGTCCTCCTGGCCCACCTGGCCCTGCTGTGAGTACAATTTACCGCATCCGTATCCCCACTTTGTCACTCTCACCTTCTGTACTCTCTCTGCATCTCTGATATCTTCATAGTAAAGTTCCTACCCTCAGCTATTCCAGACCCTTATATAATATAATGATATGCACTGTTTGCTACTTACATAAGGGAGGTCTGACCTATTTGATGTGCCTGATATTATGCTTTAGTTTCCTGTGTTGGATGTCTTTGATATTAATGGTGTCTTATTTCGATAACTAGCTACCAGCTAGCTAATAACACAGTGTGTGGTACTGCTGTAGGGTTCTCCTGGTGAGCGTGGTCCTGCAGGGCCAGCAGGACCTACAGGTCTCCCAGGACGCTCTGGCCCCCAGGGACCTCCAGGCCCTGCTGGAGAGAAAGGTGGACCGGTAAGAGCACCACATTGTAGGAATAGCATGGCTTCACTGCACATTTTTGTCTCACTGACAAACACAATGTTGCTCTATGTCAACAATCATTATTTTAGGGAGAGAAAGGACCTCAAGGTCCAGCTGGAAGAGATGGTATTCAGGGACCTGTTGGTCTGCCAGGACCTGGAGGACCTCCTGGCCCACCTGGAGAGGACGGAGACAAGGTACGATAGTATTTTTGGTTTATTTGTATCCACGTGAAGAAAAATATAATGCAATTTAATAAAGCTGCACTTAAATTTCTTTTTTTGGTTTTTGAGCAGTTGTGTTTCACAATCTGTGTCTCTCTGTGTACGCACAGACCTAAACTAGACACTAAACTTGGCAATTGGGCTCCCAGCCAGACCCTCTTGTCTCTTTCTCTGTGACCTTAAAACGCTGTGAGGGGAATTTGTCTGACAGGGTTTGCATCGATTAACAGATCCTTAAAAGGAGAACTGGCCTTGTTGCTGCTTTGTACCCGTCTTTACAAACAGACACAGAGAGAGAGGCAGCGACAGGATGGGTGAAAGTGACCCTTTAGTATTCAGATCCAAGCAACTGCTCATCCCTTCTAAAACATTTGCAGGAAGATCAGCTGCGGAAATACTCAGAGGATAATCTCTCATCCTTTGAAGAATGCCTCAGTTCTTAACTGGCCTTACAACATTCCCCGTGGTGTAAACGGACAAAGAGAATACAGAGGGTATTTGCCATGCAGATAAAAAACGATCTTGCCAGATAATGTTTACATACATTCAGACACTTTCTCATTATAAGCCCAGCTCACAGGGAATGGATAAGTCCAAGGCCTTTATTTAGGAGACTAAAGCCACCACAGAAAGAGCTTTTTCTGATTCAAACACCAAAGTAAATGCCTTTGGTTTTTGGTGGTTATTAGCATTATTTTTAACACCCACACAGGCATTTGGGGGGAACAAAGTACAAGGTTCTTCAGTTGGTATATTCTGGTTTAAACAGGTTCTGATGGGAGTCATAATATATTCTGTTTTGGCTGCTTGTTCTGTCACTGAGTCAGCCATCACGATAAGCCCACTTCAGAAGTGAATTATATTTTTTAGAGAAGGAGTGATGTAATTGAGATATCTATAGGCAGATCTAAAGGTACAAAACAATGTTTTTTGAAAGGAAGGACAGTTCAGGCAAATTAGAGATTGTTAAGAATATTCATTGTCAAACTTTTATTTTCCTTTTATGTGCATACCACTGGCTATTTTTTTGTTTCACGCTTTGATGCTCTCTTCACAGGGAGAGATTGGAGAGCCGGGCCAGAAAGGAAGTAAGGGTGACAAAGGAGAACATGTAAGTTTGTCTGTAGAAAACACATCATTTATTCATTGTTTTGCTTTCTAGAATTCTGAGGCTGATACATGAATTTTAAATACTGAGTGACAGACAAAATTACGCTTTTTCATGTCCCCAACTGCAGGGTCCACCCGGTCCTACTGGCCCTCAAGGACCTGTTGGAGCACCGGGTCCTGCTGTAAGTGTCCATTTTGAGCTATGTGTTCACATTATTCAGCGCCTTATCTATGTGTTAGCAGACTGACTCTCATTATCTCATTATCTCTTCTGCTGTGCAGGGTGCAGATGGTGAGCCTGGTCCCAGAGGTCAGCAGGGTATGTTTGGCCAGAAAGGAGATGAAGGATCCAGAGGATTCCCCGGACCTCCAGGCCCAGTTGGTCTGCAGGTGCGAACTAGAGTATTAAGCAAACTTCAACCATGGTTTTATTTAGAAAGATCTGATTAAATAATTTTTCAACCTTTCAGGGCTTACCTGGTCCACCTGGCGAGAAAGGTGAAACTGGAGACGTTGGTCAAATGGTAAGAGCTTAGTTTGTGCGCATTCTGACTGTGTTATCATTGAGCACCTTTACACTACAAGGAGCATGAAGATGAATTCCATTTCTTAAACTGAGGTGGCTCTGCTTGTTGCCTACAGGGTCCACCAGGTCCCCCTGGTCCCAGAGGTCCCTCAGGACCCCCGGGAGCCGACGGTTCTCAGGGACCTCCTGGTGGTATTGGAAACCCTGGTGCTGTTGGAGAAAAGGTAAAACTCTTTTTCTTTTTTTTTTTTTTGGATGGAATGATTTTAGCCGGAAACTCAACCATTCATGTGTATAATGTAGTTTGATTAGTCCCGTCAGTAGTGGGACTTTTGAGGCTGATAACATAATCAATATTTAATGAGTTGAAATTCTGATATGACACATTCATATCAGCTGTTTAGACTCCTGACGATCGAACTTTTCCTCCGTTATAGATATATTTGCGGTGCTGGGTATGTTTATTTTCAGACTCACCTGTCATAGAGAAAAAGTTTTAACTTGGAGAAGCGAACTTAAAAAAGTCAGATTCATTGTGCTAAGCAGTTTGTTTGGGTTGTGTTTTATACAAAGACTGATACCTCTTGAAAGGCTTTTGCAGCTATTAATATTTCACATGCCTATTTATATGATACCATTTGGGATGTTTTTTTCCTACTCGAGAGTGACAGATGCACGCCAAATCGAATGGACAGGGTGTCATTCCCGTCAGTAGCCTGCTGCTGGGGTGGAGAGATTATAAATAAATTGTCAAAAAGATCTTACTGCAATTCTAAGAAGATAAATGCATTATTAAAGGCGGCTACAGCTTTCATTTGTTGCTGCTGCTTCATCATCGAGGCCTCCTTTGGTAGTTTTTGCAGCCGCTGGAATGCAGCGCTGTGCAGTTTTTTTGTTGTTTTTCAGCGCTTGCTGTCCAGGGTGATGGTATAATTTGCTTTATCTGGTTCGGTCAATAGAATCACCTCTTGCTCCTTTCTAATCTCCCCGAGGATAGCCTGTCCTGCTTCTGTGCAAGCAAACACAGCGGTCTTTGGGCTAATCGGGCGTCAGCTGAGCTGGCATTTTATTATCCAGCCCAGGGAGCTGCCAAGCGACAGAGTCCTGGCCTTTTTTTGGTAAACACATCCCTCACTGTGTCTGTGATGAGCAGCTGCCTTTTCCTGGTTTTCCTATTCTCAGCAGTCCTTAGTGAAGGTCATCATAAGAATGGAGTCAAGGCCTCTGCAGGGCTTCGGAGGCGCAGCATTGCATAAAACAGCAGCGTACGCCACTAATACAGGCGGATCAGTGAGGCTTGTAAACAGCCATACCAGCTGCTTAGAGGGAATTTCTTGACAGCATGGAGGCAGATTTTGGAAAACAGCCAGACACTAATTTAGAGTATCAGTTGATGTTCACAACACAGGCCCATTGTTCATGCTAGAGGGAATCTGGATATGCTTATCATAACGAGTCACCGTGCAGCTTGTCGTTGGCTCTGCAGAGCTGTGCCATCAACTGACATCCTTGTTTCCCAAACATGACATGGGCTAATATTTTTCCACTAAACACGTGTGTGGTAGACCTCAGTAGGGAGGACAGTAGTCTCATATGGCAGTGAATAACGATAGTGCTTGGCATATAGGTGAGTCAACAGGGCAATAAGGCAAAAGGAAGAGGACAAGATATATGGGCAGGGTCCAGGGAGAACAGTGAGGTCAGCGCCGTCCTTGCTCCTGCCACCCAGTCTGCCTGCACTTGATGAATTGAAATCTCTTGTGCCATCTCTTTCTATTCCCATTTTTGGTGACAAGGACACTGGGACAGTGAGGGGCTGCAGTAAATTATGGGATTTTTAGAACCACAGAAGATCAACAAATCACTTTACTTGTAATGTATGTCTCTCTCTCACCTACTAATACCCCTTGTTGCCCACCTCTTTCAGGGAGATACCGGTGAAACGGGAGAGCCAGGCCCTCAGGGAGAAGTTGGCCCACCAGTGAGTTATCTCAGTCTATTTCATTTCATTTTTATTTAAAAAAACACAACAAAGAGTTTATCTATAATGTCCATGATGTAAAAAAGAGATTGTATTTATGTTGTACACTAGCAACTCTGAATTCTAGCTTATACAAGTAATTGCACTGGTAACATGCTGCATATTATTATAGGGTTCAAGAGGAGAACGAGGAGAGAAGGGAGAGGCTGGTCCGGCTGGTGCTGCTGGACCTCCAGGCCCTAAGGGACCCCCAGGAGATGATGGTCCAAAAGGCAGCCCAGTAAGTTCTGTTCCAGGTTTTTTATTAAAATACACTTTGCAACATAAGTCATTAAGCAGAGGACGATCATAGTTACTTAAAAGTAAATGTCTAAAAAATAACAAACAAAAAATGTAACTTTATTCATTTTCAGGGTCCAAGTGGTTTCCCTGGTGACCCCGGCCCCCCTGGAGAGCCTGGTCCAGCTGTACGTATGGCAGCTGTTCTGTGAATAAACCATCCAAACTTAAGTCTTTATGCACTTTTTATTGCAAAACATCATGACTGAGACCCTCTTCAATTCCAATACAGGGCTTAGACGGTTTACCGGGTGACAAGGGCGATGATGGAGAGGCTGGTCAGGCTGTGAGTGTTATTTTTTCTTTTCCACTCTGCTGCATGTCATTACTGAGAAATGTAAATAGTCTTTTCAATGTTGAATCATTTCTTTTAAACCAGGGTTCACCTGGACCAACTGGAGAATCTGGTCCTGCTGGACCACCAGGAAAGAGAGTAAGTGCTGCCCTGCACTGTCTTACCCCTATCCTTGTGAAAATGTTAAAAAGTTGCTTAATTTAATTTATTTTATTTTTTAAATAGGGGCCTCCTGGACCTGCAGGACCTGAGGGAAGACAAGGAGAGAAGGGAGGCAAGGTAATTCATCCAAAAACAAAGCAACATTTTTTTGTGTAAGTAAAACAACCTAACAAATGAGCTAACATCAAATGTTTTCGTGTGAATCATTTTCCTGTGTGAAAGGGAGAGCCTGGGTTAGAAGGTCCTCCTGGAAAAACAGGTCCCGTTGGTCCTCAAGGATCACCCGGAAAGCCAGGTCCTGAAGGTCTCAGGGGAATCCCTGGTGCTGTCGTAAGTATCTTATTTCTCAGCCTCGCAGCGATTCATCACTGTCATACCTTTATGTAGTGTGGTTTTGTTTAAACAGCATATATGATTCGCTAATTTGCTAAATAAATCCAGAATATTAAAAGGAACTGGTTTTCTTGTGAAGTGGGGTTAAAAAAACTCTACAAATGTTTTTGCAGGGAGAACAAGGTCTACCTGGTGCCCCAGGCCCAGATGGACCTCCCGGACCTATGGTGAGTAGAAATAACTTGTATTGCCATGCCTCATATAATGTGCGACTGGATCTGACAACTTACATTTTCTCACAGGGCCCACCTGGCTTACCTGGTTTGAAAGGAGACTCTGGTGTCAAAGGAGAAAAGGTGAGCTACTTCAGGAACCAATTTAGTGATTGCTGAGTTGTTTTTTCCTTTTATTTTTTTGTTTTCCACTGACCATCAAATTCTTACTCCTCTGATTGGAACGTGTCTCATTAAATGTTGCTTTGATTACATGTGCTTGTGTTGTTCTATTTGCTCAGGGCCATCCAGGTCTTATTGGTTTAATTGGACCACCAGGTGAACAGGGAGAGAAAGGTGACAGAGGCCTTCCTGGTCCTTCCGGATCAGCTGGTCCCAAAGGAGACAATGTGAGTAAACAACACTGCACCTACATTTTTGAACAGCAGCTCAGTTTGTGCCATTAGTTAGCTAGCTATTGACAGACTTTTGTTTGATCTTCCTTATTTAGCAAGAGCAAATTGGTACCACTGGTGTTAATATCTTTCATACTAGTCAATACTGTTGCTTTAGGAATAAAGAAGATTTTTTTTCTTGGCACACAACATTTATGGATTTGCAATTTCTCTTTTCTTTCAGGGTATTGCTGGTCCTGCGGGTCCACTTGGTCCCATTGGCCCCCCTGGATTACCTGTAAGCTTAGCACGTGTGTCTTACTATAGACTCATGATGTAATGTTTGAGCCAGTACTGATCACTTGATTGTCTCTGTGTTTTTAGGGTCCCCCGGGTCCTAAAGGAGCTAAAGGCTCATCGGTAAGTGATTAACCAAAAGCTGCAAAAAAACGCAAGCATTTATCATGACACTTATTTACGAAGATTAACCGCTGGTTTCATTTTGTCCTGCTCAGGGTCAAACTGGACCAAAGGGAGAGACTGGTACACCTGGACCTCCTGGCCCTCCTGTAAGTAGATGCTCTACTTTTTGAGCAGTAAAATTCAAAATGACGAAATCAGTCATTATAATTTTGGTTGACAGTAACCGACATTTATCTCCTCTCGTGTCATCTCTCCATAAAAGGGACCTCCTGGTGATGTCATCCACCCACTCCCCATCCAGGCTCCTATTAAGGGCCGATCACGTAGGAACATCGATGCCAGCCAGATGGTGGACGATGCAGCTATGGATGCCAACTATAAAGACTATGATGATGGCATGGAGGAAATCTTTGGCTCACTTAACTCTCTTAAGTTGGAGATTGAGCAGATGAAGCACCCACTGGGCACCCAGGGCAACCCTGCACGTACCTGCAAGGACCTGCAGCTCTGCCACCCTGATTTCCCTGATGGTTCGTGTTACATTTAGCCCAAATTGGTGCTTTGTTTAATTCTCTTTCTTTACGCCTTTTAAACTTTAACAAAATCAAACACAGCTAGCTAGAAATGTTTGTAGAAAGTCAGTGTTACTGGCCACAAATCGGGTATGTAATGTTAATGGTGAAACAAACAAAAAAAAGAAGAATACAGCCTGACTCAATATTTCCTGTTTCACTACATGCTCTTTTAACCCCTCCACCACCCCAACATGCACTTCTGGGCTCCAGGGGTGGATATACTTGTCACCCCTTATTTCTATATTGTAACATATACAGGGAGTCATGTGCCCTGCATAACTTAAACCCAGCCTTTAATAATGGGTCATGATGAATAATCCGAAAGATGCTTACAACTAAAAACAAAACAAAAACCAAAAATAAATTAATAATATAATAATGCATTAAATTAAGTAATTTTTTCTTAATCTGCCTGCAGATTAAAAACCTTTTTGTATTCATATTTGAATGTGTTGACTGGACAAAACAAGCCATCGCATTCCTGTGTTTTTCTAATATTTATTTATCATGAAAATAATTGTTAGTCACAAACATACGTCCAAATATAAATCACTGTTTAATTCTGTTTTGTAATACAGAGGCGTATTATATCTGCAGTGTATCCGTCACAGGAGCGTGACACTTGCAATTGCTCACATACGGACTAGTTAATTACTAATTAATTAGTAAACAAAGTACTTTTCCACTTCTCGGTGCATCATCCATCTCTAGGTGATGATGTTATCAAACAGCAGGATTTACTTTTCAAAAATGAATGTTTGATAAACCATCTGGGATGTCTGGCGTGCTAATGAGTGAGGTGCATACCGCATAACCACAACATCCAAGGTTCAATTCCCTCTAATTGCTCCAGTTTCCTGATCGCTGGCTGCTTTGGCAGCTGTTAAAACGAAGCCAAAACCTTAAAAAATAGGATCAAATAATGAAATTAAATAATGAGTTATGCATTTATTAACAATGCTAATTTAGAAGAAAAACACCCACAGTTTAGAATGTGTTTAATGTGAACTGAAGATGTAAACACAGAGGCACGACGCACCCAGTGTCTGGCCTTACCTTGACCTAGATGAAACACAGATATTGAATTATATATTCTGTGCTCTCTCTCTCTCCCATCCGTGTGTGTGTGCGTGGGTGTGTTTTTGTGTGTCTTCTCCCTTCCTTTATCTGTCCAGGTGAGTACTGGATTGATCCAAACCAGGGCTGCTCCCGGGACTCCTTCAAGGTTTACTGCAACTTCACAGCAAGCGGCGAGAGCTGCATCTTCCCAGATAAGAAGTCTGGAGGGGTAAGTCTGGCTGTGTGTATACAAGCAATGCAATCGCACAACATGAGATGACAACACAGTAAACAGAAAGTTTGGGCCTTAAAAAAACAACAAAAAACAAAATCTTTGCTATTTTCATCGTCTATTTTGGTGATAAGATTGACAGCAAGGGTAATGTGAGCCGAGCACTCTCGATAAGCTTTTTTAAATTTTTTACCCTTCACATTTGGGACTAACCTGAGCATGCCAAAGCAACACTATATACAACAGTAAATGTATTTACCCGTATAATTAGCCTCCGCGAGATTAGCCAGTGTGTTGCTTCTAAGAAGATGTGGGAGATGATTCACCAGGACTCCTCCTGCATATCCCACGAGAGTTATTTTGCTAGCGTGCAAAAAGTCTCCTTTTAGTCCTGCAGCGAGACAAGCGCTCACATTCACTCTGTTGTTTCAGAACCATTTTTAGATAGAATGACATTAAGGACTTTATCACCCATAAAAGCCTTTGGCAGGTGAGAAGATTTTTGCTTCATTATGCATGAGTGCGTGAAGGAGTGTAGCACAGCGGAGTGGTGAAACATTGGGAACACTGTCTTTGACGAGTCGGGGGTTGTGTAATAGCGGCGCGCTACAGCCATTTTAATGATCCCACTCACCAAGCCTCAGAGGAGCAGGAGTTTGCCTAAGCTCGGAATAATGAAGCAGACTTTTTATAGCGCGCTGGTGATGGGCTGTTCTCATTCGTGTCAGGGCTGTGAGAAAGAAAAGCCCGCGTTGTCTGTCTTTTTGCTTTCAGACATCCAAACACTCCCATGTGCGTTTTGAGATGGGCGCAGTGGTCACGAGAGCACACGCTTTGTAAGATCCTCAAAGGGATAGTGCTGCCTTCAAGGTTGAATTTTCTCCTCCACTCTGTGCACCGTGGCAAAAAAAAGTGAAGGTCACCTTGGATGCAGCGTGGGTCTAATGTGTGCCATCTCCCAGTGATAAGCGATCTCCGGCCCATCATTCATTAACGCATTAAGCCATTGATGACAGCCCCGTATCAGACCCTGCTCTCTAATTATAGAGAAATTCATCATTGTCATGGCTGAGACCATTAGAGCTGTGCCCCCGTTGGCCAGTTCACAGCTTTTAATGGCGTAACAAAGTTAGTGCACCATGGCTGCACGGCGCTGACACCGAGCAGCAGGGATGGAGGCCCCCACTATCAGAGCTCCTTGCCTGCGATCATTTCTTAATTAATCACTGTGTACTCATGAATTTTTCAGCAGCAATTAGCTGCCAGCCCCAGTGTGTACAGTACAAAATAGCATAATGGCTTACAAAAATCTTCTTCCCTGGTCCAGTCGGTCGGTCTCACTGCGAAACTGTTTCAGGTTTTTGGAAGACTCCTCAGAGGACAAACAGAAGGCGAGAGAACAAAGCTGAGAGGGGATGTGGGATTTCTGTCGGATCTTGTTTCCTTTTCTTTTAACACTGCTGTTTTTCCTCCTCCTCCTCCATCCTCTTCCTCTTTGTCGATCCATGCCCCCAGGCTAGGCTCACTTCCTGGCTAAAGGAGAATCCCGGTTCCTGGTTCAGTGAATTCAAACGTGGTAAACTGGTAAGCCAGACCCCGACTTTCTCAAGTCCCTTTCCCTTCCCTGAATGCCTCTTATATTTTACAGAGCAAAATGGCAAAATGGCCCAAAGACTCGCCAGGCACATGGTATAGTCACTACAAGAGAGGTTCCCTGGTAAGTGTTGCTGCCCACGGTCCCGGAGTCCTGGCTCAGGTCTGGACTCCGTGTGCCTGAGGCTCTGCATGGTTCTGGTTCTGTGAAGTATGTATCGACTGGCTCCTCGCTTGCTGGTTGTTTCGTTATTGAGTTGCATGATTCAGCATGAGCTGCACTCACCTTCAGTCCAACGACATAGTCGGATGCTCTTACACGGAAATGGAGGAGAGGTTTGTGGACCATTCAAAGCAAGAAATGGAATCTGGTGAAGAAACATATTTAGTCTAAAAAAAAAAGGAAAACAATGTGCGTAAAAATTCTTGTCATACCTCTGCTACATTAAGAGAGCATCTTTAAAGAGTGACTGTGTGCCTTGACAATCCCACGGCTCTATTAGTTCATCCACCGATAGTTGATTTATTAGTGTGGACAAAACGTCTCAGACTGAATGCATCGCTTACACATTTGTTATTGTTTTTTTGTGATCTCGACAAGCTCTTGCCTCAGCAGGGCATCTGTCCTCCACAAATGGCAAAACACAAGTGTCATTCTCTCTCAGCTTGCACTCACAGTCCCATTCTCTCCCTTAAACGCTGGAGAGTACCTCTGAGTCAAATGGGTCAGGCACTCAGTCACAACCCAGGGGCCCTCTGGGTACTCAGTCACTGTTGACTTGCGACTGTGATGATAAAGAGGTAATGTGCCTATGATGATGCCAGGCTGGATCCACACGCTGTACGGGTCAGGGCGGGAGGGAGGGGATGACGAGTGGTGGGGTAAATGAGAAAAGCACGGACCTGCTCAGCCACAGTTTGAGCCACAGTGCCGACACTCACAGACATAAATTACAGAGAAACAGTCTTAATTTTTTAAAATATATTCATAATTAAAAAATCAAATTAGATCATTTATCCTCATTATTAGCTGGAGATTGCGTCAAGTCAAAGTGTCGGCACTCTGGGCTCTTTATATGCATGTGTGTGTGCATGGACTTTCGCTTACGTGGAAGAATGAGTGGTAATAGACGAACAGACACACAGACAGTTTGCTGCTCTGGCTGCATGGAAGGGATCCGCATGTGCATGAGTCTTCAGTAAGTCCTGTTTGTCTGAAAGACAAAGTGACCATGTGGATCTAATGGATTCCTGCTGGTTGGTATGCAAATAGTCATTTACGGACATTAAAATGAAATACAACTGTTTCCAAAATCTGCTGTCTTGTCAGTCAGTCAGGATTACTATAATCAGCTTAATGCGACTTTTTGTTTTCCTTTTTGTAACATGAGCCTGAAAAGCAGGGATGCTGGGTTAATTATAGGCTAATTAGCAAGCAATTAACATATCATTACTGCCACATAGTTCCTATTACGAGAATACATTTTCATGATTTTACCATAATTTGCTCGTATCGCTTATATATTTTACATAATCACACAATTACGATTTAAATGAGCTCTTTAGTTATGCTTATTTTTTATACTTTGAAGGTAGATTTGTTCCGCATTAAGCCTTGAACATCAGTGCAGCTCCCGGGCATAAGGCCTTGGAAATATTCTGCACTTATCCTCCTCTTCTAAAAATTTACACATATTTGTACGTTACTTAAGGACAAGGCTGGTAATTAAATTTTTTATTCGTTGTCAGCAGATTTCATTAAAGACCCAAACCAACAATGAATTACAGCACTAATAAGCACAGTGTGTTTAACGCCTGATAGCGATGCTGTTATAAACACTCAAAATTGTACTAAATGTGTATTGAACTGCAGCTGAATATGTGCTTTTTGATCTTTTCTTATAAAACTACACAACACAGATGCTCTAAGAACTTAAAGTAAAAACGACAGCTCTGTATTCCGGACTGTTTTTGCAAAGATTTAAACATATGGTATTCGGTAGTAAGGTTGCTCTTGGTAATGTCAAGGCACTTCACCTGTCCAAAGATGGGATTTCAGCTGAATAGGTCACTAAAAACTAAATTACCCCCTGTCTTGGTTTGATATTTCATCGTCTCCAAAATGGGAAAGGGCATTGCTATTTTGAGGAAATGCTCCGTGTATGTTCCTGCTTCTGTTATGATTGATGTTGTTCTGTCACACCTGGAGTATTGCCCAGTCAGCTTGTCAAGTGCTGCTGAAAAGCATTTAAAAAAACAAGCCTTCAAAAGGCGTAGAACAGGAGAGACAGATTAGTTCTCCATTGTTCTTCTCGCACTTGTGTTTGCGACGTTCATACATTGGTGGGGCCAAATTAACATCTAAATTAAGGTCAGGTCTGTTATTCATATAAAGATGTGCCGCAGGTCTCACATAAGTAGCCTGTTGATTGTAAGAGGACGCTGTCAGTAAACTAATTGCACGGGCTCTTCAATTGGTTCCATATTTAATGTTGTTGCTGTTTTTGTTTTGTTTTTTTTTACACATTTTACATTTTTTGTTTCTTTGTTCTTTTTAAACATATTTTAATGAATTTGTAGTGCAGTAACAAAATAGGTAAGGGTAGCATGATAGATGCTTACTTTGATTACACAAACAATATGTATGAGTAGGTCATGATTTGTAAATAACTGAAATAGTTTAAAAAAACGATGTCTTCACTCTCGAAACACACGAGGCAGTAATTTTGAGTAAAATGTATCTGAAATATATCAAGTCAAAGTTTTATTTTTTTTATTTATTATTCAAATAATTAATCATTAAGGAAAATGTGCTCAGTACAAACTGAATGTGTACCAATCAAGTGAATTTCATTGAACCAGATTTCATTAAATTTGCATTGTACTTATGTAACAAAATTACAAGGAAAATTTACATTTAATTAAATTAGTTAAAGTCAGCATTTTGGGGAGATATTTTTATAACTTGAGCTTATTATATAATGTTATACTGCAGTATACTTATGACTAACTTGACAGTTGTTTTTTAAATTTATCCCACATTTTGGAGTCAGCTTCAAAGAAAGGCTGATGTGAAATGTAAAAGTGAGGTCAGAGGTCAAATGTGACATTATATTGAGATGCAAACTATAATAGAGTATTTATAATTCCCATATGACAGTGTAATTTCTTAAATGTTGGCAATAAAAACAAAGGCAATAGAATTTTTTAGCAAAGTTTTGAAGATAAAAGGGATTTAATGAAAGTTTGACCTTATTTGAACTTGAAGAAGAGGTTAGATATCCAAAGTATTGTGATATTTTGAATCACTATATGCCTAGATGTTATCAATACAAACAATGGCAGTAAGAAACATAGTTTTACTGCTCTATATATTATAATTATCACATTGACCTTCAGATCACTCTATTGAACTTGAAGGAAAGGTCAGAGGTCGGATGTGACATTTTAAAGCTTGGTCCTTTCTGCATATTGATAATATACACCAAACTTGAAAGAAACATAGTTAAATCAAGTTAATTTCCTCAATTTCCAACCAATCAATCATGAAGCTGACCTTGACAACCTGGATGTAAGACAAATATTAATGGTCTGTTAACATTAGTCCACTCTACACCGCTACAAAGGTTAATGAGAATTCATTCAAAAGTTCTCAAGCTATCACGTTTACAGACAGAGAGAACGACATATTTGGGAACGCCTAAAAAAACAAAACTTTCTAAACAATGAAAAGTCTTTAGTATTGGACTGACATTAGCATTGTTTGGTTTAGGTCTTTATTACTAATTTTGATGAATGCCAGCCTTACTGCTCTACTAGGTCATATGCTGAGTCATATTATATATTAATGGCACATCAAGTTTTTTGTCTGGTTGACACATAAAAAATGCTTCCAGGTGACAGAGGAAACTGCATGGTGTAAACATGGAAATGTCTTCTTTTTGCAGCTTTCCTATGTGGATGCCGAGGGCAATCCCATCGGTGTGGTCCAGATGACTTTCTTGCGGCTGTTGAGCGCAGCAGCCAGGCAGAACATGACATACAACTGCTACCAATCGGTGGCATGGCACGACCAGGAGCAGGACAACTATGACAAGGCCATCCGCTTCCTGGGCTCCAACGATGAGGAGATGTCTTATGACAACAACCCCTACATCCGCGCCTTAGTTGATGGCTGTGCGGTAAGTCAGGGAAGTGTGTGCGTATGTGTGGGTGTGTGTTTTTTGGGAGGTAAGCTGGGTTCCTTTGATGGAAACTGTTGGAAAGTTATGCTTTGAGTATCTTTGTAGTCGTTGCGTGAGCAGGAGTCCAGCAAATGTGTGTGTGTGTGTGGTGTTTCTTTCTCTTTTTTTGAAAAGAATATTTTCCGCACACTGATTCTTCAACCCCACTGTGTCTTTTCTCTTTGACAGCTGAAAAAGGGCTATGAAAAGACAGTACTTGAGATCAACACACCAAAGGTGGAACAGGTGCCATTTGTGGACGTCATGTTCAACGATTTTGGCGGCCCCACGCAGAAGTTCGGATTCGAAGTGGGGCCCGTCTGTTTCATCGGCTAAGACTTTTTAACTGAGCAAATGGAGAAAGAAAAAAAAAAAAGCATATTTTTGTTTTCTCAAAAACAATTGATGAAAAAGAATAAGACGATTCTATTTGTAAAAGAAAAACATTACTTTTTTTTTCCAAAAAGCAACAAGTATAAAGTAAAATGAAATCAAGTTGAGAATGCGGTGAAATTTTTTTTATAGGAAACAGAGGAAAAAACCTTGAAACCTCAGTGTGCCTTCTCCATCACATGCAAGTTTTGAAACTGGATGTCAGATCCTCCTTCCTATACAGTTCACTCACACACAAAAACCTAGCCCCATGTCACCACACTTTTGTTCCAAACAACGAAGGCGACCTTGAGAGCCGCAGCCGTTCCAGACGGTCGCGCTATGTGCCTTGGACTCCATTTGATTTGGCTCTTTTTTTTCTTTGCTTTAGTTTTGATCTCATGTTTTCCTTCATCTCCCTGGCTTTGCTTTTTTCTCAGTTTGTTTGCTCATTTCACTACGGGAGCTTTGTTTGTGCATAATTGTCTCCCCATTCTCTTGGGATGGGCCATATATATATATAT